TGGAAATACAACCGTGTTTAATGAAAACATGTGAAGGAAGATGTCTCCAAGAATTATACCTTCTGCCTTGCTTTATTAGGATTCAGTATGTCATTATCTGTCTGTGCACAAAGTTGTATTTCTTTCTTTCTTCACCTTATCTTCTTTCACTATTTTACAAAGTAAAAGGAAATCCATAATGTAATCTGGAAAACACATCTTTCCCTTTCTTAAAAAATCCCGGAAGCTTAGAACTTTGTTTTCCTTGTAAAAGTGGAGGCCATCGTGGGTACTATAGCTTCCAGGCAACTGCCTCTCTTTTGGTTTAGAAATTGGTGATATCAACCATTTTGGGGTGCAAAGAAACAGAGGAGAGATCTTAGAAGATAAAACACCTTTTAAACCAAATGCCTTTTAAGGTTCTAGCAATGATGGATCGAACATACTCTGCATTATACTTGCCTGCAGCAGTCCTGAAAAATCTTATTGCCTCTGTGTATTTTAAAAAAGTAGCATTTGATCTTTAAATTTTATTTTGGAAAGACACTTAGCTCAGTGTTTACCAACTTTACTTTTCTCCTTCTGGGGCCCAAAGTGTAGATCTGACTAAAAGTAGGAATGTATGTTTTTTCTCCTGCTTTAGGAGGCATCCAACTCATTCTGCTCTCTACCACAGCACCCAGTAGGCTAGGGCATCAGGTCAGCAAGACACCTTAGTCAAAAGTACTGCTCTTTTCCAGTTGCTATTCAGAAAACAGGCTTTGAAATAAATTTTCTTTAGGATAAACTTTTTTTTCTCTCCTAGATTTAATTGCATGGCCTTTACATTGACATGGCATCAGTTGGCACTTTTGAATGCCACTACTGTCACAAAACATAAGGGAGCTTTAAGGGAACACACTAAGTATTTTCCTTTACGTCTCTTCTCCTTTTCTACTGGCAGGGAAAGGCAAATACAGTTTGGGGCTAGTAGGAGTTGAGTTGTGATGTGTTCATTTGTTGTTTGCTACTTTAAAGTTTAGGTTCTCTCAACCTGCATTTTCAGAGTAGAAAATATTGACAGATGGAAGCAGTCATTCAACGTTTATTTGGCTTACTTAGCTTTATCAACAAAATGACAACATCTATCTGAGGTCTAAGTGACTTGGTGGTGAAGCTGACACTACCCTCTGGTTCATGTGGTGAATCACTACTGTGCAGTTACACTGCACAGCAAATGTAGCTGCATCCTAACTGCACATACCATTACATTGGGATAAAATTGTTGCCTTGTCTCACATCAGTACCCAACACAGACCTTGTAAGTGTAGACCGTTCTCAAGCTATTTTAGCCTTTCTCCCAACTAGCTGTTTACCAAGCTATTCATTTTGATGCTATGTGCAGTCTGCTTCACACTCTCTTTTTAGGTGTTCATTATGACACAGAAATGCTTGAAAGGCACCTAGGTGCAGGTGTATTAGGACAGATTTTGCGAAAAATTTTTAATGCAGAACATTACAGTCAGTATTTTTACTCTCTGTTTGACTACAAGGAGGGCCTTTTGCTTTCACTTCTTATGGGAACACATGATTTGGGGAGAAAAGGAAAAAAATTGCTGATTGCCTTCCTGGACAATTAAGGGTAGAAAATAGCTCTGCTGCAATCTGTGACAGTACGTGAGTCACTGTGAAGAATATGGTTCGACATGTCCACAAAAGCAGCCAGAAACTCCAAAATTTCATCTTTAGTATCATCAGAGTTGACATCTTCCTGAGCGGTTTACCTTGCAAAGTTATTCTCTTGGTCCCTCTGTGGTCCCAGGCAGAGAGCAACTTGCTGGGAGGTACTTGAGTTGACATGACTGTCTCTGCAGGCAAACCTATGGGAGACTTTTGACAGAAGCCTGGTTACTGGAGCATAACTATGCTGTGAATTACCCTGCAATAGTGTAATAATTTATGTAGCTGTGTTGTCACACTGTGTACAGAGCTTGGAAAGTGTCTCCTGTTTATTGCAATTGAAGCACTTATTCTTGTTTCAGCTGTAAACTTAACAGCTGCTAAAAATAGAAGCTATCGAGATGTCACCCTTCACAGTAAGCAAAAGGAATGAGTCACATGAAATAATGATCTCTGAGTCCTGCAGAGCACCTGAGCAGTCCTTGAATATTTTAAAAATGCATGTGTTGAGGTTGAGCTTTTTGCCTTTTCCAGACGTAGCCATGATACCGGGAGATGTGACTGCCCTTCTACTGGAGGCTATTGCCCCACCAGTGAACTACAGCTCCCAGGAACATTCCTTAATCTACTTCAGTACTTTCAAATCAGCTAGTTTAGTCCAAATTAAATGTAGAAAAGTCGTGGATGAGCAGGTGAGATAGGAAGAAAGCAACCAAACAACAGCTATGTTAAGGAAAGAGAGGAAGAGGAGGCAAAAAGGTAGCCCCTCTTCAAGTCACTGAAACTGTGGAACTATTACTCTTGCTGTTAGGGATGGAAAGCCTTGAACATTTCCATTTCACACTTTTTACCTGTAGCTGCTCCATTTTATATTATATATGTAGTTGTATCGAAGAGCTTCTGCTTGTGTGATAAGCTCAGCTTGGACTTGAGAAGGAAGAGCTTCTGAGAACAAGAATTAAAAACTCTGTGATAGAAGAAAAAAGATAATTTTTAATCCACTTCTTCAGATGTGTATGTGTAAGTGGTAGACACATCTTGTGCTTCTACTTACGTGGAAGAGAATTTGTGCAGTGTGTTTGTAAATTTTGCCCATGCTGGAGAGCTGGGATCTATGTCAGAAAAGATTTATGTCATGTGAATTGTCTTGTGTGCCTAACTTGTGGATTTGAATCAACCATCCATATGTGAAATCAGGTAGTTTGACCACGATTGATCACCATCTAGTGGTAACCTGTAAAATTGCGACTTTGACAACAGTACAGAAGAGGACAGTCTAAACCAGAAAACCCGTCAAAAGGCCTGTTGGCACGGCTTCAGAAAGATGTATCTGATGGTAGGGCCTTTACCAGATGAAGCATTTTAAGTACCCACGAGGCATGTTAAGCACTGCGGTGTCATCGTTTGCCCTGCTTCGGTGCCTGTGTGCGGTGGGGCGCGGTGCTGCCCCATGGCTGGTGCCCAGGCTTTGCTGCTGGCCAGCTGCCGGCCTGAGGCTCCCAAGAGTCGTGGCAGCATGGCAGGACGAGCTCTGGTGCCGGCAGTTTTCCCAGGCACCGCTTGTTTTGCTAGCACCAGTGTTACCGGCAACGTACGCCTAATCGCAGAGGCTCATGGCCAAAAGGGGCCTCCGGAGGCCGGGCAGGCTTGTGTCCCTCTTGCCCAGTGTCTGGTTGCCCTGCTCCTAGAGACCCGTGGCGGGGGAGACTCCTCTTGTCCTCACCAGGGCTTCATTAACTGTCCTGAAAGAAAGTCTCTCCTGATATCCCCCCTTGAGGGGTTTGAATACCATTTGGTTTCCTGTCCATTTCTTTCATCTCAGGACATTTTGCTCAGTGCTCTTACCACGGTCCTCTCATCCGCGCCTTCCCCAAAGGGCAGCCTCCAAGGCTGGACACAGGGCTCCAGGTGGGAGGGTAACAACGCTGCAAAGGGCATAAGGGCTGCTACACGAATCTCACACATTATATTCTCATTTATACATCACAGCATTGCATCCGCCCTTCTTGCCACAGCAGACACTACCAGCCCACTGAAACTCTCGGCTCCATTCCAGCCTGTGATTCACAGTAACCACAGATCTTTCTCTGCTGAGCTTCTACTTAAATATTTTTTTTTTCTTTTGTATTTGCACAGTTCATTATCCTATTTAGACATAGAACTTTGCATCTGTCATTGTCTAATAGCATCCTGTGTTTTTTCAGACCACAGTTGCAATTTGTCAACTTAATTTTGTCCCCTCAGCTTCATGTCATCTGCAAATATAATAACCAGACTTTACCTCATCATCCAGTTTGCTAATGAAAACACTAAATATCACTAAACCTAGGACAGACTGGTCAAATCCCCACTCAGTGCCTCCCCCTACTCTGATAGTAAATCACTAACATCTCCACTCCGAGCACAACTCTGTAACCAGCAAAAATGGTTTTCTCCAGACTGTTTCCTTAGCTTACACACAACAGTGTCATCTCAGACAGTGTCAAAACTTCTGGAGTCACGATATGTGACATCATCCTTTCCTTCATGTATGAGCCTGTTAATTTGTTGTAGTAGGAAATCAGAATGATCTGGAATTGTATGTAGCTGATCCATACTGGCTGGTACTCACCTGTATTCATCCTCTGCAGACTTATCATCTGATTGTCTATTTCACTGTTTTTCTGAGATGGACATTAAGGTAACTGTTAATTCCTCGTTCCTCTGTTTTTTCCACACATTGATGTATCTCCTTGTATATATATATATATATCCTTGTATTCACCATGTATGTCCTCTTTTGATACTCTTCTCATCCTCCCCTAGGCCAGTTCTGAGATTACACCATTCACTTCTTCATTGCCCTATGCTGGAGTTTGTTAGGTCCATCTAATTTGAAAACATCTGTTTTATGTAGGTGCTTTCTAAGTATGTAATTCAGTGGTTTCAGCAACTGTGACAATATCTGCTGTGTTTTGCTCAGGCTGTAATAAACAAAGCACTATACCACTGGCAACCCTGAAATCAATGTCCAGATTAAGCTCTCCATGTTTCTGTAATCAACCGCAAAGTCCAGAGTGAGAGAACCCTGCATTTCCCAAATGCCTTTGAAAAATGTCTGGTTGGGTGGTTTTAGATTTCACCTCTGAGGTGGCTTACAATCTCTTCTTTTCATTCCTCTTTATTTGACTGCTAAGAGAAGTATATATAAACCTGCTCCTGAGACAGCTTTTTGACAAGTGCTCTGCTGCAGGGAGAGGGCAAAGCCAGCTGCAATTCTTGTTACCATGTGAATACACCCGCCTTTGCAGGAGCTTACAGTTTTGCTGGGATTTTCTTCAAGGAATTCCTTCATAACTTTAATGTGATATCAGCTTGGTCACTTAATTGTTGCTCCTGGGCTGCTGGACATATTTGCTCCACTTACACCTTGAAAGAGAGACCATGGCCTGCTGGAACTTACCTCCAGTCATGACATAAAGTAGTAGGTTGCCGCATGCGTTGAGTGCAGCCAGTCACCAAGGGATGATACAGGTGGAGTGGATTTGCTTCTCCATGTGACAGCTGACTGGACACAACTGTAGTTCAACCTCAGCCATCCAAAAGATGTGGAAGGGGAGGAAGCAGGCATAGAATACCACCAAGAGGACATCGGTGAGTCTGAGAGCCTTTTGTTTGTAGCAAGCCCGCCTGTGCGTCTTGGTAGCCAAAGTGCAACTAATGAGTGCATGGCACAGAGTCATCATCATCAAGGACAAGAAGGCGGCCAGGCTGGTCAGCAGCCAGTTATACCACCTGATTATGCACAATTTTCATTGCTGGTAAGGTCAAAGCATAAGGATCTGTTTTGTGCCTCTTGTGAGGAGATCAAGAAGTTGACGCAGTTGACAGCTGCCAGTGAGATCACCCAAACGGCTTTGCAAGCCACCACTGCCCACTGCTTCCCCTGGATGTGGAAGAACTTCACAGGGTGGGCAATCACCGCATAGCGGAAGGTGCTGAAGCAGGTGAAGAAGATGCTGCTGCTCTATAAACTGAAGTGGGAGCCAAAGCGAATGAACTTGCACACAAATTCACTAAAGATCCAGTGCTCTCCGCTAGCACAGTAGTGTATCAGGAAGGGAAGGCTGGTGAGGTGGAGCAGGTCTGTGAGTGACAGGTTCAGTGTGATTATGGTGCTGCTCTTTCAAGGCCTCATCTTGAAGCTGTAAACACAAATCGCAATGATATTTCCCAGAAAGCCCATCAGGAAGATGATGCTTTACATAATGGGGAGGTACAAAGTCTTCAGACTGACTTCCACATCAATGCAGTTGGGAGAATCACCTTCAGTGTCTTGCCAGGCGGTGTGGTTGGCTAAGCTGTCGTGTGTTGTGTTTGCGTTATTTCCCTTAGTGCTTAAGGAAGAGAGAAATGTTTAGCATTCACTGACAAGGCCTTCTCATAGCCTATTAAAAACAATTAATAACCAGGTCTTTCCTTTCAACTTCCCATCAATGCCACTATTAAAGTGCCTTTATTGAATAAGGAGAGGCTTTGCTCCTTTGAACATTGATCCTGATCTAGAGGCCTTTTATCATATCTATATATGATCTCTACAATTTTATTTTAAAATACGTATTTTCAGGGAAGGGTCTGCACAGGCACAATGAAGCTGTAATATAAGGGTTTCCCAGCCCCACAGTATGTGATGTATGTCCCCTGGTATATAAAGATTACTTTCTGCTCTCATCAGGGGTCAAGTGGAGCAGAAGGACAGACTAGTTTTGTCGTGCTACTGATCAATAGTGTAGAGAGGAATGTCCAGACATAACTGCTCCATAAAAGCTATTTGCAGATTTGTTAATTCAATGGTAAACAGGGTGAATGTTGAAAAGTTTTCATATTCTTTTTGATACTGGAGCTGGTTAACATTTTTCTCTCTGCTCCTTGGAAACAACTGATAGAGGAATAGTTAATTCTTTTAGTTCATTAACAAGATTGATGTTGCAAAGAAATAGGTTATTTTTAGGCTTGTCATTAGCTGCTATGTAAATTTCTATCCCTGTAAAATTTGTAAATGGTGTTTTGCTTTGATATTAGTCTTAGAAGTTTTCTGAAACATCAGAATAAATTTATTCAACTTTGCAAAGCAGCCATTTGCAAGATAAAATATGGGACTTGAGCAGGATTCAAGGGGAGTAAAGATAGCCCGGTATATAGTCTCTATGACAGGAAATACAGGGCCATCAAAGCATGTGGCAAATAACTGCTAACATGGCATCCAGTAAGTGCATTTGTGTGAATGCCTTCCTTCTTTTAAAGTGGAGTAAATGTTTTGATGGAAAAAAAAGAATAAATATCTGGTGTAATTTTTTTCCAGAGGGATGCAACTTCTTACAGGATGATGCCTGTCCTCAAATTACTGTGGCCTGGATCTCTTAAAATGGATCCCACTGAATCACCGCTTCTATTTCTTGTTCCACGCTGAATTTTCTTGATGTACCTTCTACCCTTACTCACTTGTGAGATCTCACAGAAACAGGTTTCAGGATTTGAATTCAAATTTGTGTAGAACATTTGGTTCAATCATATTTAAAACACTTTGAAAACTGAAGCTGGAGCTTGAGGAGACACATGCCAAACTGGCATTTGTTTTTAAAGAGCAAAACAGCTTCCCACCTCTTCTCATGTCTGGGGATGGTGCAGGGAATGATTTGGATAAATCCAGTGGCTCTAATTCAGTTAAAAAAGTAATGCAGTGATACTGTTGTCCTCAAACAAACTTGAAGCCTCTGGTATGGCTAATGGTTAACCAGGCTAATAGCAAAGGCCCCATCCTGCAGTAGCAGGCTGCGGCGTGCTGTCTGCTGCTGGAAGCACCAGCGCTGTGCACACTGCCGTGTTTACAGTGCGCAGCTATTAAGCGAGCTGGGCGCTGCTCCCGACATCACTTTCTTTGTGGTTTTTTTTTTTTTTCTGTAGGACTGTAATTTTGTCAGCAGCTTTTTTCCCCACCAGCCAGCAAACCTGTAGGGGCTGGAGAGCAAATAGCTGCCATCGCCGAAGAGCACGGCGGCGGCACTGAGCCGCTGCAGTCCCTGCTGACAGCAACACGCTCTCAGGTGCTTTCGGAGCCGTCCCCTTTGCTCTCCATCAGGTATCTGGTAGGGCTGGAGTTGGGTCAGGGAACTCCCTCACGGGCCAGGCCAACCCCCCAAGCCCTCCACTGGTTACAGAAACGCGAAAGAGGGACAAGTATTGCAGGAGAAGCACATGGGTGTGGGGTCTCGGTTCTGAACTGCCCTAAGATTACATCCAACCTAACAGGTTACCACAGAGACCAAAGAAAGGAGACAGCAAGTCTTTGCTGTTATTATTTTGATGCCTGAATTACGAATAGAACTTAGACAAAACTTAAATCTAATTAAGGAACAGTTTGTACTGTGGCAGATTTTATCACACTAAGTAATTGGCCATAATGGGACTTCTGCAGCCCAAGCTGAGGGCAAATGATATATGCTGTAGACACATAATGAACTTTAAATAAATTATCCAAGAGCAGAACTTGTAATAAAAGGGAACTAGATTATTGAAATAGAAGCCCTCTTTCAGTCTTAATGGTGGAGTCACTGCTCTATTACATGGTATTCTTTACTGTAACCAATTGATTGGAGTCACTTTAAAAAAATGTTGTGATTGGAGTCTTTAATTGCAGTCACATATAAGGGAAACTTGTCTACTCCTGCATTGTGATAATCTAATTAGAGCCTGCTGGAAATAAAAGCCAAATGGCTGCAGCCATGGCAAAGTAACCTAATGCCTGTAATTTGACTATATTTCACACAGATGTGTTGCTGAATAAATTAAATAGGATTTGGCTCTCAGTGTTCAGCTCTTCCACTGGCTCAGGGATGTGAGCCCTCTTTCCCTTACCCTTTGTAATTCAGGGAGGTATCTCCATACAGACAGACTATGTGGATTTAACTTAGGTGTTTGATACATCCCATATAAGTTTAACTTGTTCCATGCTTCCATCATCCTGTAACCTTGCGCTTATCTCTCTCCACTTTGCCCTGCCTCTAAGTTCACACCTGTAAATCAAAATACGTATTTTACCTGTAAATCCTTGGTGTTTTCTTCTCTAGTCTTCATTGTTGGTTTCTTAAATACCCTACTCCAGCTGGCAGGGTTTGCTTTTAAATTCCACAGGCTTGTGCAGTGAGACTGCCTGGGAAAGCTGTAGCAACCCCCCTGGGCTATCGGACAGGTTGCAGGAACGCTCTGCCTCCATCCCCAGGTCTCTGCCAGGCAAAGGCAGCATGGGCCCCATGGTGCTGAGCAAAAGCAGCTCCGACCCCTCTCGCCTACCCGTGGGCTAGCTGTCATGGCCCCGGCAGCGGGGCCGTGCCGGTGTCAGCTGCCCTCCTGTCTGGCCTCTGCTGCCGGCGTGGGATGTGAGGACCTGCCCTGTGTCATTCACAAAATCGGCTAAGACTGCCTGTAATCTGTCTGGTTTGGCTGAAGAGGTTTGTTATGGGCACCTCCAGCCCTCAGTGAGGGAGGCAGGCCAACGGCACTCAGGCAGGGAGAAGCAGCAGCATCTCAGTGCCCGGCTGAAGGAATATCTGCTCCCTGAGTCCCAGAGCACAGTATAAGAGAGGTGGAAGATGGGGGGAGAGGTGGGGGAAGAGCAAGGTTTTGAATTGGCCGGAGCTGCCTTGCAGAGGGCTTGGTGGATACTGGGAGCTGAGATCAAACCCTTGCCTCTTGGGTAGCATGACGGTACCCCTGCTCTCCAAACTGGGAGCTTTGTGGGACCAGCTGCCCCTTCTGCAGTGAGGGACATGGCTCTGAGAAGAGCAGGGATTATGCAACCGGAGCACAAGCAGGGTCTTGTGGCTGGGAGAAGTATCTAAAACGACGTGCTTGTGAGGACAGCTTGGCTGGAGGAGGGTCTTACTGGAAAAAGGAATTGAATGACACTGCTAGACAACTATCCTGACCATATTATATGCTTTCTGCTGTCACTTGTCCAGAAGTCAGAGGAATGAAGAAGTCTAGGAAGGAAGTCAAACTATGTGTTTGCTTTGCATATGGTTTGAAAAAATACCCAGCCTGCTGTATGATCTGGAGCATTTTACAGTCCCAAATATCCAGGCAATAAAGCAGAAGAAAGACCAGCACTTCCTTGAGTGTGATGGCTAACCCTCAAGAAGGGGCTAGCAGAAATCTGCTCTCCCTTTGGAGAGGGAAGAAGGGCACAGGCACCTTCCGGGGTGCCCTGTGACAGGGGTTTTACTTCCTTTGCACAGTGAACTGCAAGAAGCATGGGCCCACCCAGAGGTGCCAGGGTAATTATGGTGTGGAAGTTAAAGATTTTATGGGGTGAGTTATCTTTCCAGTCTGTGGTGCTAGCTGAGACCGTGACATTGCAGAGATCTCCTACACAGCCAGTATTAACACGTTTTGCTTGATTTTCTCTCCCTCATCCTTTTCAACAGGTTTTGACGCTTTGGCTCACTGTGCTCCATTGACTTTCACCTTGTTTCGAAGCAGTGATCCTCAGACCAGTTTCAGGCTGCTCTTTTTTTTCATGAAGAAAACACCTTCAAAAACCTAAGCATTCTAGATTTGATTTTCAATGAAGTATTTGCAAACTTCTGTGAACAGGTAGGAAAGTTATTATCTTAAGAGGGAAATGTTTAGATGAGGCTGAAAAGAACTTGAATGTTTTCCAACACTGAACTTAATTTCAGATCTCGTTTGAAGCTATTATTTATTTTCTCATGATGATAAGAGATGTGAACCTGGAAACATGAGCAATTATGTACTGCATAATGTAATGGTGAATTAGGCTGATTTATTTAGTAAATAATAACTTTTTAAATGGTTGCAGAACTGTCCTGTTTCTTTACCTGATGCTTTCAGTATTTGCCATCTTCACATGAATGACTGTCAGATTACTGGCTGTATATAATCTGTTCTCCTTAACTCTTTCTGATATAAATTTAGCCACATCAACCTTGAACACAAACATTACTTTTGGACTCCTAAATACAAATATTCAGGAATAAACTGGCAGTTGTCAACATATCCTTGAGTAACAGCTGATATGAGCCACCATTGTTTATAGAAAGAATTGAACCACTTTTTACTGTATGATTAGTTACCAGATAGTAGTAATTTCAGTACTCTGCAACATGGAAACTGTACATTCTGCAAAGTGCAAAAACACCCTTTGCAAAGGGCGTATGGAGAGTTATGGAGAGACCAGGGGCATGAAACTGCATGTTCTCAGGAGTCCCAGTTTATCCCTAAGCACATAGACAAAGAACTTTCTGCATTTCATAAGCTTCTGTAAATGTATAAGGGATATCAAGTTCATTGCTCAGTTTTTTAGTTTTGTTTATTCCTTGTTTGATATTTGTCTGCTCTTGTATGGTGTTTTTGAGTTAGAATGGATATTGTTCTGGCTTTATGATTCAAATTCTATTAAAACAGGATCATTACTTGAATACTTCATCTCAGGCTTAATGTTTGTAGTTCAGGAAAAGATTTTGAAAAATTGTGAGGAACAGAAAAAAAGCTTCAGGAATTAATGGAGTATGGGGGGGATGTTATGACATGTCTTGAGAGACTTTTGAGGCTTTAGGGATTCTCTCTGGTTATTTTATTCGAGAACAGATTTAAACAGGAATGGGTGATAGCCATGATCACATCCATGGGAAGAGACTCCCGGCATCTGCGTAACTGGAGCTATTCCAATCCAGGCTGACAGCAAAGTACAAGTATTTCTCAGTGAGGGTGGGTAGCTACTAAAACAAATCCCCATAGTACTATGGTAGGTTCTTCAACTTTGGAATTTTTAAGCCAACATTGAGTGTCTTTTGCATAAATATTGGTACAGTCACAGAAGAGCGTGAGATCATACAATTTTGCAGGAGTGATTCATAGGTTTTAAAGGCTATAAGAACCTCTAGAAAACCCACTCTGAAGGGTTGTATTTCCAAGGCCTTGTACACCCAAGGCCATAGGATTTAGCTCAGAATTCCCAGTAACTTGAAATTAGTCCCTTTTTTTTAAAAAAAAAAAAATATAGGACAATCTTGATTTGAAGAGGGAGAATACTCTTATTCCTTTGATAGCTTGTTCTAAAGATTAATCATGCCCACAGTTGAAATCATATCCTTAGACTTTAATATGACTCTCTAGTTTGTGCTTCCAGCCTTTCAACTTTTTCATACATGTCTCTGCTATAAGGAGAGAGAAGCCCATTTAGCAATGGCTGTTTTGTTTTTGTGAAAGTATTTAAATATTATAATCCAGTCACCTTTCATACTTCTTCCTCATTAGTTTGATATATCAGTGAATCCTATGATAGCATCTGGGCTTCTCCAGCCTATTCTTTTTCCTCTCATTGGCTTTGTTAGGTATAACATGTGATCCTCTATCCTGCATCATGGGTTTCCGCATCTCGGGCAATGTGGCTGAAGCCACGTCTCTGCCTGCAGTACCAGACTCACAGAAATCCCAGGCATCCCCAGTGTGCATGCACCAATCAGTTCTGTCCAAGCTACCCCACAGGATTCTGCTGAGGGGTGTCAAAGGTGGCCTGTTTTGCACACTCAACCCTCCCGAGCTCTAATATTCTCCTTCAGCAATCGGGGAATCCTTCCTGCTTTGGGGGCCCTTCATCCACTAGTCAAAAAGGTATTCCTTCTTACCGTGACTAGAGCACCAAGTGATGATTGTGGGCACGCTCTTTCCTGCCAGGGGGAGAGAGGAGAGATCATTGTATCCGTTGTCTTCAAAAATCTAGAAATGGAGAAAATCTTCCTCTCCACCACCATGGTGGAAGAAAAAGAAATGTAAGGAGATATCCTGGGAAGGAAAAACATAGCATAGGGTGGGAAAGGCAGAAAGAAGAATTGTAATAAATGGAGTCTAAGGATTACCAGGAAGACATTCTGCTGCTGCACCAGCAACAATAAAACAAGGAATGTATTATTCTGCCTACTTTCATTATGATAAAATAAAAGAGGGGGGGAGAGGGAAGAAAGGAAGTCAGAGAATAGTTTAGTGTCAAATAGCAGCTTTGGCAGTTGGAGATAGAGGTTTAAATCTTCTTTTTCTGAAGTGCCTCAGTAGTGTCTAGTGGAACTCTAAGAACAGGTGCAGTCTACACTCTTTAGTTTACAAGACCAATGTTTTTTATAAACTATTAGAGTATTCTTAGTAGTTGAGTATTTTATTCTCTAAGGCACCAGTGATGGGGAAGAGGATTAGGAGGACAATGAAGTAGGTGAGGGAGGCCAGCTGGCCGATTATGATGAATCGGTGTTCCATGGGTTGGCTGCCCACTCAGAATGGAGAAGTTGGCAACTGAGGGTTCAGAATAGGAATTGGGAGAGGGGGTGGAAGGCTATTGTGTGCTGTTTAGATTTGTGGAGGAGGGGGCTTGAGAATAGGACTAATATTGATGCAGCTAGGGCTAATATTCATCCTTGGTTGTTGGGGATTGAGCATAGGATGGCATATGTGAATAAGAAGTATCACTCTGTCTTGATATAATGGGGTGTGACTAAGGGTTTTTCTGGTGTGAAGTTCTCTGAGTCTCACAGTAAGTTAGGTGAGAATAGGGCTAGTGTTATTAGTGGGAGGTTTATGAGTATGAATCCTAGGGTGTCTTTTAGGGACAAGTAGGGGTGGAATGGGATTTTCTCACAGTTTGATATGGCATCTAGGAGGTTGTTTGAGCCTGGTTCGTGGAGGAAGGTCAGGTGGATGGGTGAAGAATGGAAGGGTTAGTTTATTAATATAACTCCAGTGTTGGTGATATGTGAAAAAATTGTGAATAAAATTAGTGATGATAATGCAGTAAATATTTAGTTGAAAGTTTCTAGTGTTTAGGAAGCTAGAGGAAGTGTAAAAGTGAGAAATTATGTCCAGCATTCACTAAATAGCAGCATAGATAAGGATCTGTGGACACACCGTAACCAACTGGAAAACAAAGTGCATCAGTGTCAAACAGTAAAGTCACGCAGCAAAGCAACCTCTGTCATGCAATGTCAGCAAGGAAAATTTCCATAATATAGGCCTTGTCAGAGTGTCTCTCCTGCTTTTCAGGTCTGACTATGCTGTGCTACATTGTCTTCAGCTTGCTTCCAAAATATGTGTGATGGTAAAATACCTTAAGGTGACCCCGTTGTCAGGGATTGTTTCCTCCTGTCAGGAAATAGATGGGATCCCCCTACTGTCCTTCCCAGCAATAGCTAGTCATTTTTTTCTCCTTGGAAAGAGTTTTTCTTAAATAATTTAGTTAGCTTGTTCTTTGCTCAAATGTAGATATGTCTTAGCATGTATTTTTACACAGATTCCATGTGATCCATTGTGTAATCTCCTTATATACAGTTCTGAACCATTTTCATGATGCAACTTACATTCCCAGCTGTTGTAGTTTGAGCCCAGAGGGCAACAGAGCACCATGCAGCCGTTCACTCACCCTTTCCCCTCTCACTAGTGGGAAGGAGAAAATGAAGCACAATGGCTCAGTGGTGCTTACCCGTATACGGACACAGGCAAAAGACAGACTTGTTAGGGGAAGAAAAGAAAACATCACTTTACTTCAAATGCTAACAAAAACAACACTTAACAAACAAGGTGGGACAGTGAGAAGAGCCACCACATCCGAAAACACCTTCCCCCACCCCTCCCTTCTTCCCAGGCTCAGCTCTGCTCCCCATCTCTCCACCTCCTCCCCCAGCAGCGCAGGGGGCAGGGGATGGGGTTACAGGCAGTCCGGCTGCTCCTTCGTTCCTGGATGGTGAGGTCAATGCTGCACCTTCCTCCCTTGCTCCACATGGCTCCCCTCTCACAGGAGATAGTCCTCTATGAACCTTTTCCAACATGACTCCTCCCCACGGGATGCAGCCGTTCCCACGATGATCCAGCGTGGGTCACCCCTGCATCCCAGTGCTGAACTACGACAGTGGGGGCCACTTCTTCCCTCAGAGTCCGGCTTTCTTTAAATGCAGCCGCCTGTCCTGGTGTGGGCTCCTCCACAGGCCGTAGGTTGGCCTCTGCTCCACCACAGACATCCATGTGTTGCGAGGTGGGGCAGCCCTGCTGTCTCACTACAGGATACGGGGGGGGGGGGGGGGGTGCTGTTCTGGTGTACCTCCCCCGCTTCCTCCTCCTTCCTTCCACTGACCTGGGTGTTTGTCCTTCTTGCAACTCCTCCTCACAAGTCCCCACCTCTTATCGGGTTCCCCTTCTTAAATATGTTATTGCAGAGGCACAGCCACCATCACTAATTGGTTGGGCCCTGGCCAGAGGTGGGTCTGACTTGGAGCTGGGGGAGGTTTCAAGAAGCTTCTCACAGGGGCCAGCGCTGTAGCCCCCTCCCTCGCTACCAAAACCCACACCACAGAAACCCAGCACAACAGTTCATAGTAGTTAGGGCCGAACCTGCTGCTTGTCCTCAGATGCAGAGATCCCATTTAGGCAAAACAAGACCAGTATGAATGTGGAAAGGCAAGAAGGAGAGAGTGGCGGCCAACAGAGAGGCAGAGAAGTGAAGCACAGAGCCCACTGGGAAGGGAGGAAGGTGAGGCTCAGGAACCCCATAAGATGTCATGCTGTGTGAAGACAAGCTCAGGCAAAAAGCAAACATTGCCATGGATCATCTTTGCCTTTATGTCCTTTCAATGGAAGAATAAAACGCTTGCATATGACATCTTTGTTCAGCGTGGACACCAGTTAACAAACACTGAGCATGCACAGTGGAAGAGCAGATGATGGTACAGATCTAGGCATGATGGTCACCTCTTGTCAAACATTTCTAAGTCCTAAGCAGTGCCTGAAGCAGTCTGCTGGTGTCTGTATAATCTTCCCCTTGCATGCTCAGCTGGCCCACAGGCCAGGTGGTGTTTGCAAAGG